CCTCTCTCTCGCCTCCTGTGGGGCAGCCAAAGCGCCTTTCCATCCACCGCACAGCATCTCCTCTCGCAGATTTTAGCCTCACAGCATCTCAGATCTGTCTTGCTCCTAGATCCACCGAGCGGAACCAGGCACAAAAAACTTTGACCGAAAGAGGGTGCGGCCCAGGAATTGGCGCTTGCTACCCGAACTGAGGGGCACTTCGCCTCCTCACACACATTTTCCGGTTACATCCTCAGCATGGCAGGGACGGGGTGGAATGCCCCGTTGCCGTTATCCTACTAGGGACAAGAATCCCCGTCTGACCTACCAGAGGTCTATCGGAGCATTTGCTTGCTCCTGTGGCCCAGGGCTGCACCAGCATAAGCCACCAACAGTAGCCAGCATGGCTACAAGGAATGGGACACAGGCAGGGTGCATTCCAACGAGGCACAGATCTCCTTTATCAGGTACCCCAAGTAAAGGAATCATTTCCCATCAGGAAAAATGAAGGGCTACCCTGTTGCAGTGGGGAAGGAGGGGAAACCAGACCTCTCCACTCACTGACACCACGTGGCAAAGCCTGCCCAGAGTCCACAGGGGGTACGGAGGCAATGAGTCTGTCCTGTCCGCAGAGCACAGCCCATGGAGACCCATGGAAGCCTGCAAATCAAAGCCTTCCTAGCCTCTATCTTGCTCATCTTGCTTGCTCCTCCTTGCAGTTTTTCTTATTCATAACGTAAAACAAAGGAGCTTTTTTCAGCCGGGGTAGATAGAGGGGCAGGGAAGAGAAGTGGAAGGCATGACTCATATCTGATCAATGGCCAGAGGGAAATGCTTCAGTTCTGCCCCCTTGGTGCTCTGCCCCAGAGCCACCTGGTTTTATGGCCTGTTATTTATTCCCTCGCACACCCCGCCCCCTTCTGCAAATTTAAAATGTTCGAGACAACAGCTTTCAACAATGCAATCAGCATCAAAGCAAAGCAAACAAAGGATTAACTTTGCCAAAACCAAAATTCCCTGCCTACAAAGTTTTCCTTATAAAGTGCCATGTGTATTAGTAGAACGAATTCTTAAAACAAGTCCAAACCATTAAACAAAGCACGGGGCACCTGAAGTACAGCAATGTACGGGCCAGGTATGTTCGGAAGAAATGCCCTAAAGGGGAACAACTACAGAAATTGGTACTGATGGAGGCTCTTAATAGGGTGGGGGGCACCAGAAGCAGAGCCTCCAATTACCATCTTCAAAACCAGGCAGATTCATGCAGGAATAGGCAGTTCTGTACACACTGCAACCTGGCTAGTAAGTGAACAGAAGTTACTAGTCCACAGTGTTTTATGACAGCATTCTGTAATATGGCTCCTCATCCAAGTATGTGTATGTGCTTGTTCAGCAAGAATTCTGCAATAAGGGCTTTCAAGACCATGTCCTGGGACATTATTTATATAACTACTAGGAAGGGTGGGGGCAAAGAGAGAAAGACCAACTGACAGATAGATGCCTCTTAGAAATATTTAAGTATTTAAAAAACCCACAACTTTTGTATCACTTCTATGGCTCACCTGGAACACCATGTCTGCTCACCCATGGTGAGCAGGCAAACTGCCTTTTACAACCCTGAGGTAGATCTGTGAGAACAAACCAGCAAAGATTGTGGAGGACGGTAAACATAAGCACCATCACATCAGGAAACAGCCTAAAAGTAGGCTAAATATATAAGCCGGGAGGCCTCCGTAAGGAATTCAGTGTTAAAATACCCACTGCAGCAGCTCAAACCTGCTCGGACAATGAGTTTGCTTTTTCAGAGATTACAGATCACCCTAGGAGGAGGTGGTAGCAAAGTTGTTTGGAGGGGGTGCGAAATAAAAGGGTGTTTGCTCATGTGCTTAGTTTTATTGCTTTTCATTCTACGCCTCTTGCTTTAGCACCTGGAAAATTGGTGGTGCCATGTATTCGAAAAACCAATAAATCTTCCCTCTCAGCTCGGCCTGCTTCCTTCTTTGCAGATGCTGGCAATCAGGTTTGCGAAATTTCAAAGTCAGTCATTCCATGTGGGTGAAGAGGAGAAGCAGGTTTCGTTATTGCAAAACTTGTCACCCTTAAAGTAAACTCAAAGTCACCTATCCACACCTAGGTTTTTATTTATTTTTTCCCCAGAGGGAGATGGGCTTGGGGAGAAGATACACACCCGCACATCCGTATTGTACTACAGGAAAAAAATATCTGCATTCTATGCCTTTCAGTAAACCCAAGCACAGATTTTAAAAGGGATCCTGAGAGCTGCAGAATCCGAGGTTCCAAATAATTAAGAACACACTTTCGTCGTTTCAGAGTGGAATAGGGCAGCTCGGCAAAAGGTTGGCAGCTGTTCTTAAACCTCTGTCTGAGCTGGGAATTTTGAAACAAAAATCTCATTTGGAAAGAAAAAGAAAAAGGCAGGCAGGGCGGCTGGCAGCTTCAAAAGGACTATTTTAGGCCTTCATGGGGGAGGGGGCAAGCCCAGAGAGTCTGAAAAAATGCCCCCCATCAAGATTGGGAACTAGATGGTTAGATTCTTATAGGCACAGCAGTTTTCCATCTAAGGGCTTAACATGGTATTTCTCTTTTTTTTAAGACCACACTTCCAATGCCTGCTCAGCTTTTGCACAGTCTTGCAAATGCAAAAATCCAGCCAAAGCAAAAAAAACGGGGGGTGGGGGAGACTCCGACCAGTTTACCGAGACTTCAGACTTGGGCACACCTAGAAGGCTCTCTCGCATGATCCCTTTTCCCCCACCAGCCCTTCCTCCAGTGGGCTAGAAAGGCCAGGCAACCAGGAATTCCTGAGAAAAGTTCCGGACTTTTCATCCATTTCAAACTGCACACACAAACACAACTTCTTTTAATTTTATTGCTACACTAGCACTTCTCAGCAGGAATTACAGCAGGAACAGACGAAAAGGGGGAAGGGAGCAAACCAGCCGAAAGCTGGATCTCACTGTATAAGATTATTCTTCAATTGGTTCTCCCTGGGCATGTCAAGATTTTTTTCCTTGAAAACAACCCAAGCACAGATTTTGACTCCTTGTTGGTTTCTTTAGCAGAACCCCGAGTTCTCTTTAGCTACATTATAAACTTAAAAAACAACAACAATCCAACAGCCAGTATTTTTTTGGCATTTTCTTATTTTTAAAAACCCAGCGTTTGAATTGAGTTTTTACTGCCAACAGAAGCAGCTAATTCAAAATAGCTGTATCAGTGCAACATGCAAAATTAAAGACTTCATACACAATAGCAGATTTCAGAAAGGACAAAAAGGAACGTTTACTTAAATCAAATTCATTATTATGGTCACAGACTAGCATAATTTACTTATATTAAAAGCCATTCAGTTTTTGAAAGGTAGCCCTCCACCAGCTTCCTCAGTATTCCACATTTCTAGGTATTTCGACAGCAAGTTTTTCTCTGCGCATTTAATTAGTCACCACACAAAATAATTTCTCCTACAAGACCCTCTTGTAAAATATGAAGATTCAGAACTTGCTATACAATGGCCCCCATTCAATCGTTGCTGGAGGGGGAAAAGAAAAAGAAAGAGAAAGGGCAGGATGAAGGAAAAAAGAGACTTTCCCCATTTCTTTTTTCAATGTCCTCAGCCATCTGTCAGCCACGACTGCAAATCTGAAGTGTCCATAAAAACTTCGGAAGAGCTGCCAAATTGTTTCACTAAACCGGCTCAATCTTAAATCCTTTTCATCCCTGTCCCACCAAAACAAGTATTTTGCCCCCATCCCACCAGGGTCGTGCCCATGCCGACCTCGTAAAAGTGGGCAGAAAATAAAAACTTCAGGACTAAAATACCCAATGCAAAAATCCAAGCCAGACAAAGACTCTCGCCACAGTTTTTGAGCAGAAAAAAACAGCAAAAGGAAAGGACAACTCGAAGAAGGATTTGAGCCAACATCAGCTGCTGCTCGGGTTGGCTATCAGAGACACCAGGTTTGCAAGGTAACCAGTTTGTGCTACAGAAGGACAGTAAAAACGCGGAGATAGAAATCGAGAAACGGAGAGAGAAGGATCCTTTCCAGATGGCCCGGCCTTAACGAGACCGGTTTTCTTTCACCTATGCGGGCATTTTGGTTTGAAGCACCGAGATCTGGGGCTGATCTCTTTTCAGCCAGCCAGATTAAATGGGTTTTTAAGTGAGGGATCCGTTGGAGCTCACCATTTCATGGGATTCCAGGTCTGTTTCTCTATGTTCTAGGCATCAGGTTAGGCTTCGTGGTTCTCCGGTATTCTAGAAAAAGGTGTGTGTCCCTTTTTTTGGAGAAGGGAGAGGAAATCCTCCCGGGAGCAGCTTAAAATGCAAAGGGAATGGCAGTCCTCTCTTTACACAGGTGAAAGAGGTACGAAACCTGTGGAAATGCATGGACTCAAGTGGGCCTGGGGACTTATGGGAAGGGGTGCCTGGCACCGAAGGACGACTGTGCACCCCTGTAGGGTTACTCTCACACACCCCTTCGTCCCTTGCCTTTCTGTCTGACAGCGCAATCCTGGGACACATGGAGGGGATCTCAGCCTTTAAAAACCAGCAGCCGGACGCAAAATGGGGACAGCTCTGGAAGAGGCAGGGAGTGTGGTCTGCATACTGAATTTCCGGGGGGGGGGGGCGCAAACAGCCCCAGCTTTTTTTTTGGTGGGGGAGAAGTACAGACTGCAATTTAAGGGGGCATTTCAGGGACGGCAGGTCCATCGACAGAAAAGGGACCAGCGATTCCTTTTCTCTTTTGCTGCGGGGAGGGGGCGTATGTGGGAGCCCAGCCTCTCTTCCAAGGAGAAGGAGCGGGAGGCAATCTTCAAAGGAAAGCTCTCCAAGGCAGGCCATTTTGAAAGGAAATGGGTAGGTACGGCGGGGGGAGAAGGGGAGGCAGCAGAAGGGGGCACCCCCTTTGCCGGACCTGGAATTTGGAGCAGAACCGCCACCGCCCCCCCCCGGGGGGGGGGGGGGAGAGGCAACGCAGAGCAAGCAGCGCAAGACTTACCCGGGTGGGAATGGAGGCTGATGCCGGAGGCGAGGTATTTCCCCGGGGGGAGCGGCGCCGGCGGAAGCCCGGCCGCCAGCGGTGCGAGGCGGGCCGCGGCGGCTCCGGCGGCGGCGACGCGGTGGTGCCCGTCCATGGCCAGCCCGGAGAGCAGCGGCGGGGGCACCTGGACAGACCGGGGGGGGCCGAGGTCTCTTCCATCCATCCTCCGCGCGCGGGTCTCCGCCGGCCCCCTCCGCCGCCGCCTCTCGGCCCGGGCTCAGAGGCGCTCGCACCCGGCGCCCCCCCGGCCGCGGCCGCACCATCCTCCTGCGGGGGCGCGCGGCTCCCCTCCAGCCAAGGGCGCCGGCCGGGGGCTCTTCGTGGGATGCCTGGGCAAGGGGAAGAAAACGGACACCGAGAGAGCGAGTCAGCGGGGGAGGCGAGGCAGGGGGTCCGCGGCGCGGCGCCCCCCGGAGAGAGCGGGGTCCCGGGGGGCCGGCCTCGCTTTGGGGGGCGTGCAAAGGAGGCGCCTGCCCCGGCCGGGCCGCGCGCTCCATCCCCGGGCCGCCTCTCGGCGCAGCGGCGCAAAATCCCGCCCGATGAACTTGGCTCTTTTGTTTCCAAAAATAAAACACAGAGATAAAATCGGCCTCCGCTGGGTGGGAGGGTGGGTGAGGGCGAATGCAGGCGCTGGGAAGAGAAATCGAGCCACGTAGTCTAGATCTGAAGCGGGTTTCCTCAGGAGTAATTCCTACAGAATTTAATGCGGCTTACTCCCAAGTAAGCACGCACACGGGAGTGCAACCGCAGTGGCACCGGCGACACAAACTCACCCTGGACGCTTTTCATCTGATAAATGTTTTTCAAAGGCGTGAATGTGTGTTTTAAGGGTCTGTGCGCAGGAAAGATGAAAAAGCACTTTTTTAAAAGGCCGCGGACTTTCCACACGCTGCTCCTGTTCCTCTGCTTACTCGCAAGTCAGCCTCTTTTGCTTTGCAAAGCCATCGCTGCCTGCATTCCAGCCCAGCTGGAAGGCGGCTTACTTCCGCGTAAACGTAGGAAGGCTCCGGAGAGCAAATTTATTTCAACGGGACTTACTTCCGAGAAAGCAGGGAGAGAAAGGAGTGAATGGGGCTTAAGGAAGCGTATTTGGAGTCGCAGCCCGATCCTAGGCATGTTAAATCACGAGAAAGACCCATTACTTTGGTTTTACTCCTAAGGGAAAGGCAGTCTCGGATCGTAGCCTTTATCAAGGCTGTGATCCTATTTATACTTAGTTGGAAACAGCTATCATTGAGCCCAGTGGCGCTTACTCCTGAGTAGCTATGTGTAGGTTAACTGTAGGAGTTTTCTGCCCCATCGTTTGACCTGGGGGCGAGCAGAATTTAACCAGTCCTGGTTGGTCCTACCCTCTTGGCTTTCGATTTAAAAAAAGCCCCTAACAGAGCAAAATCCTGATTCGGATGTTTTATTCCTCCCTCTTACCCACATTTTGTCTGGGCACCCCCCCCCCCGCCGCCGCCTACCCCCTCACACGCGCGCTCCGCCAGTTTCCAGGGCCAGTTTCCCCCTCTTCCATTTTTGTAGATGAAGCTCGACCAAAATGCGCCGAGGGGGGAAGGTCCTGCCAGCCCAGAAGCACAACTGAACCTTGGCACATGCCATCATCCTCGCAGCCCTGAAATGCTTTTAATGTTTAACCTTTTCCGCCCAGAATACAATGAGTTACAGAAAGACCTTGGGGCTGGTGGGACCCTGTGTGTTCCAGCCGCTCTGGAGGAAAAGTGGATCTGCCGGGAAGCCGGACCGCTCCTCTCTTCTCCCCCCTCAAAACCCACCCAGCCGCCAAACAGGACAATCCTGGACGTGTCTTCCCAGAGGGGCCCCCTCCCTCTGGAGCTCCGCGGGGCTTTCTTCAGCTGCACGTCCAAAGGACTCCAGGGGCTGGAATTGACCAGAAACCGGTGTAGAAACGGAGCCGCAGAAGGAGGGCCCGCAAGGCGGCGGTTTTAATGCCCGGAGAGCCTTTTTCTCTTTTTAAAAAAATACATGGTCCAATCCTATGTGTGCTTGTCTGGTTGTGTTGGGAAGCTTTCTTTCCTGTAGGAATTACTTCCAAATAAAAGTATTTATTAAGCTAGGCTGTTTCGAAGTCAGAGCCTTAAAAAAAAAAAGCATACACAGTCCAAGAATTCTTGGGAAACAGCTGAAGCGCTCCAGAGAGAAGTTCTGGCAGGCATTTCTGCGTCTCTCGACAAAAATTCCAAATAGTTTAGAATTTAAGCACGATAAAGAAGGGTTGGGAAGGACCCGCTGGGACTGGCGAAGGGCGAGGAGAGAGATTCGCCCCGTTTTAGGCGCAGGAGAGTTCCTTCTCGCCTTAAAAGCGTTCGCCATATTCACCAGGCGATGAATTCCCAATTAGTCAATATTTATGTCTTCCCAGGAAAAAAATAACACCAAATACACTGGTGTTTTGTTGACACGCTTTCCGTGTATCGGCTGATGAAATCCACGGCCCCTAAATCCCTTTTAGGTCCTCTACCGGGTTTAATTAAGAGTTTCTTTCTTTAATCTGCGTTTAGTTAAAACTATCGCCAGATTTATGAGAAAGCCCTCTCCTTCCCAATCCACCCCCACTCAAATCCTACACTGCAGTGGAGAAAAAGATTTTTTCCGCCTTTTAAGCCATTTCATTTGCTCTTCTTATACAGCGTACGATAAATAGGTTAAGTGGTTTGCCATTTTAACCACAAGGAAAGGGGTGCTGCTTTCCTTACCCCCCTAATTTACACAACTGCGTGTGTCTCCCCCATACGATCGTAACATAAACCAGGACTGGGGTGTGTGGCGGTTTTCTTTTCCGCAAAATCCTTCCATCACGAGAAAAAGAATGCACACACAGGACGGAAATCTCACACACACCCCTCCCCAAAACCCAGATTACGATTTGGTGGGGAACTGGGCTGAAGGCGCGTCCGGGAGCGCGCACAACGCCACCTCCTCTCTCCCTTCGCTCTCTCCTTTCAACTTTTCCTCTCTCCAGCTACCCCAAACTCCGGCTGGATTCCTGCTTTTAATTAAAATCAGCCTGGACGAAAACGTCTCCGGCCGAGGACGGCCTTCGCCGGCGGGGTGCGAGGGACCGCTCCTTTGGCGCGGGTCCTCGCCCCCCCTCCCCGCAGTCACCGAGCGGGGGGCGACCAGCAGAGACGGGAGGGTCTCGCGCGGGAGCGGAGGCAGCCCCGCGGCCAGCGAGGCTTTTGGCGCGGGGGGGGGGAGTGGCTGGCGACGCCGCTCCAAGGGGCAAGCCCCCCGCACCCCGCGCCCGGGGAGGGCTCTGGCCGTCCGGATCGCCATCCCCGACCGCGGGCGAGCGCGAGGGGGTCCCGGCTCGCCCGCGGGGCTCCCCCCCCCCGAGAGCGCGCCCGGCGCGGGGCTCCTCTTACCTTGTCGCAAGGAAGCGCCCCCCTCCCGCCCGGACGCCTATCTAGTCCTCTTCTTGGGCATCCCGCGGGCTGCGCCGGGCGCCCGCCGCCGCCGCCGCTCTCCGCCGAACTCCGCGCCCGAGCGCTGCGCTCCGCGCCCC